CAGTGTCGGGCCACTTACAAATTTTACAGAGGTTTCATTCGAAAGATTTCTGGAATGCCGGAAGCAATGGATACAACTTGACGGCCGTCAGAAAGACATAGCATTACGTACAACTCAAATTATAAGCATCGAGGAAGAAGATCGCTATGAAAATTTTAAAGAGTTGGCGTTTCATCGCAAATGCTATTCATGCAGCATTTACCAATAAAACCCTATTAAATCATGCTGAAGCAAGGCGCAAAAAAGCTGAAAAAGAGATCAAATCCCATCGGCATCGGTTGACCAAGGCAGTAGTGATCCTATCCCGAAGAAAGTTTTCCGATCAAGTTTAGCGGCGTCCACTAGTGCTACTAGATCAAGGAACGAGCACGTGTTACCTCCTGTCTGTATAGTTTGCAAGAAGAATTACACCGATTTGGTAAGTCAATCCTTTTTTGCTTTTATTTCGTCCGTGTATTGTCAATTCTGCTAATTCAACATGTCAGTTTCTGCTAATTTATAACTTTCAACCTTCATATGGCCGGTAATTTAAGTATCGCAAACCTCCGATTATAAGTCCCCCGAATATAATCCCCCCCGAATATAAGTGCCCCCCACCAAATATAACCCCCGAATATAAGCCCATCACATTACTAACGTTCACATCATTCCAAATATAAGCCCTCCCCCCGAATATAAGCACCCTGTCTATAAGCCCATCATCACATTACTAAGGTTCACACCTTCCCAATATAACCCCCCCCCCCGAATATAAGCCCCCCTGAATATAAGCCCACTATACAGGTATATAATTAACATTATACAAGTTTTTAACCACTATACAGGTTTCATGAGGTTATGCAATAACAAAGGTTAACAGCTAGTAGGGAACCAAGCCTCGTTACGTCGGCACATCATGTGACCAAAAGGGGGCCGGGCGAGTATGTAATAAGAGGTTGGCCGCGCATTGGTGGTATTAGTAATCATTGTGCGTTGGAAGCGTAGTAATCGTATTAGGAACAAAGATTTTTTTCTCTCCTGTTCTTTTATATTTCCACCAATTGTTAATTGGTGTTAATAAGTACTAATTAAAATATGTAATCGATGTAAATGCCCATAAAGATCAGTTGTGAATATTCTAATATTTAGTGCCCATGGGGACAATCTCACGCTTCATTAGCGTGCAATTAAAACCTCAATCAGTATTGTTATGACGGGAACGGGAAATCATTTTCGGTTGATATCCATCAAGACTATCGTGGAGGCGATGGACGAAAACCTTTCTCAGTGTTTGCATGAGTAGGTATACAAGGAACTGACTTTTTTATTAGCCTGTTCAGTTACTTGTAGCAGTGGCGGAAATTCACTTTATTCGTTTGGGGGGGAGCAAAGCCTCCTAAATTTACGTCAAAACTTTCAAATTTCCGACGTACCCCCCACTTGCACTCGAAAAGACTGTTTTTAGCCCTCTTTTAGGTCAAAACAAATTCGTCAATTTTCCGTGAAGGTGGGGGGGGGGGCGGACGCCCACCCGCCCCACCAAGATTTCCGCCACTGACTTGTAGGATCGCGCATATACGGCTGTAGTTTCTTATATATCAGTTTCTTATAATAACATTGCATAATATATTTTTTAGGTTGTGACAGCACCAGTTCTTTTTATCGGAAAGGTAAGAAAACGACGTGGGACACGCTCGAGCGCAATCGTGGATACGTGGTTGCATTCGTATCACTTGCATGGGAGTACTTTTTCTCCTTCGGATGATCTCGTTGCACAGCTTAATAAGTATAGGTTATTTTGAGGCAACGAGGGGATATGTGATTTATTCACCGAGGCGCGCAGCGCCGAGGTGAATAAACACATATCTCCGAGGTGCCTCAAAATGACGTACTTATTTTTCACACTGCGAGGTCGCGTTAATGAGTCAGAAAAGAAATAATTCTCAATGCCATTTTGCCTTCGTGATGTTGTTTTTTCTCATTTTTGTGCTGCAAAGACATTGCAGGTGAATATTAGAGGGGATTATTAATTGCTGGTGAATATTAGAGGGGATTATTAAACGGAAATTGATTAGAGGGGAATATTGAATATATTCCCCGACAAGAACAAAGGAAACCGAGCAGGGTGAAAAATAAGGTTTGTTTGCTTGATGTATGGCGACAAAACATCCGAGAATGTCAACAAATGTAGGTTTGCATTGTTCAAATTGGGAAAGTGTTCTGATGACATGCTACCGCCAACATGTGGAAGCTTGCTGCAACACATACGTCGGGCAAACTATCAAGCAGCTATTTGGCGCCAGTGTCTTGACACAGAAATGGATATCCCTCCTGGTTGTCATGGATGGCGGATAGTCGACGGAGAGTTGAAGATCGTGTGGTTGACCCGTCCTCCGGCACGGGACTCGATACTTGAATTCATCCATTGTGGTTGCAAGACTGGTTGCGAAACTCACCGTTGTTCGTGCAAGAAAGCCATGATCCAATGTACAGATGTATGTACTTGTGCTGGGTGTATGAATGCAGCGATTGATGACGAACAGTCAGACAAAGAAATGGAAGAAGAGGAAGAGCTCGGTTTGGATATGGATGATGATATTTAAAGTAGCTCTCTACATTTTATAGAAATGTTGAAAATGCACAAATTAGATCAACTCTTTGAAGAGATGTTATTTGCTAGAAATCAAAAATAACACTTCACTAAAAAATACGCATGGTTAACCGAATTTTTTATTTCAGGAAACATTTTCTTGTAGTACGACAAAATATTTGACCAATTTTAAAAACAAATCTGTTGAGCTAAATTTAAAGGTGATCTACAGTCCATATGTAAACAAAGCCTTTGTTTACATTTTTGTGTCCAAAATATTGAGCTTTATTCGACAACTATTTATATTTTCAAGCTTCTAGAGTATAATAAATGATCAAGAAACAACAATCAGGCTTTTTAAGAACTCAAAACATAGTTAAACTGTTTGTATCATAAAAAGTGGGCTCATTTGTGCACATGCGCAGATCGGACTGTAGATCACCTTTAAAAGAATTATAAACATGGTTTTTCGAAATAATTTTTTTGGCTCTTCAGAATTTTAAAACATAATATTTTTATTTTAATATATTTTTTTAATATCTTGAATCGTCATTGTTGCCATAGCAACAGCGATGACGTCGCTCTTGTGACCAATTTCAAATTCTTTGACTGTTGCTTTATAAAAGTTGCACAACTTTTTACTTCTGTCAAGTAATATTCCTTTGAAAAGTTTGATCTAATTTTGATTTCCTCCTATTTTTAAATTGAAGGGAGACACCTCAAGTTGTATTTTAGTTGTATTAATATGTTTAAATCAGTTCGTGTGAAATACCAACCGTCAACGTCAATTTTTGTCCGATGTTTTCGAGTTTATTGTGAATAAACCGCGCTCAATTGTCCTTGCGCGTGTAGTTCTCCCCCCTGGAAAGAGCCTGAGACTAGTTACTTCAACATATTTTACATGAAGTTCCTTGGAAACAAAATGGCGGATTTCGAATTTCGAGGAGTGCCAATTGTTGAAATTCAAATGCAAATTTCTAAAAAACTGCAGGTTTCAAGCAGTGCCAACAAGCAGAAATGTGAAAGGTGAGTAAAAATTTATATATTCTGAGTTTTTGGCGTAGTCTCCGAAGGTGTCCAACGAAACTGAACGATAATCGGCTTGGGAATACGGACTATTATGTTGTGTTTGAACTGAACTTATGTTGTGTTTGAATGTTTAGCATGCAATTTATTACAATTTTCACCTGATTAAAACTTTTTTTAAAAAGGTGTCCTTAGAATGCACGAAATGCTATTTCAGAGACCCAAATTTTAAAACCATCCCTAGCTAACTCGAGCCTACGGTACTCGGCTCACACCTTCGGCGATCGTATACTATCCTGCATGGGGGAGGACAAGGAGAGAATGGGCCCTTTAGCAATTTTGCCCCACCCTGACTGAAGAATCCTTAAAAAATGTACTGTTTTGAAGGACTGTTCAATGCAGTTATCCGTTTAAATACCTAAAGTTTTGACGAGCTAGTATACCGCCCAGATAACAGACAAAATTAAGCATGAAAGTTGCAATTGTAATTCACGTTTGCGTAACTGAAGTAGGCCGTACGGTTTTCAAAAAAATGTAGCGACACAGTTTTCAAAAAAATGGAAAATTCACCATTTAGATCGGTATTTTAATAAATTGTCAAAATAATTGAGTATACTAAAAGAAATCATTTTATGAAATAAAAATTGGGGTAGGCTGTTGCGGTATTTGAAAAAAAAACGAAAACCGATAGCGGAAAAAAAATACCGATAAGGTAGATATATCGATATTTTTTCGCGATTGTATTTTGCTTAATTTTATGCAAAATTTGCTTAATTTTATGCAAAATTTTCTGTTTTCAAATGCTGCCAAACAGCCACGATATAACAGCTTTGACTCATCGGGTGCATGCGTGATATTTTCAATAAAGTGTGAGGGCAGTGATCAGCCGGCCTGTGATGTGTCCGCTTTACGAATTGAAAATGCATATTACTTAATATTAGCATTGATTACCGCACCGGATGAAACATGTGTGATATTTTTGTCCGGGAAATTGTTTCAAAACATTTTATTCAACTGCGAGTTCGAAACAAAGATCGTCCTATATCACCAGAAAACTAACAATGTCCAATGAGGTTAGTTCTTGTTTTTCTAAAACATTTGTAATCCACCGTTGTTTACGTTCTAAAAGTTCACGAGCGAAATGACATATTACCTATAACTAAGCGAAATGACATATTACCGTACCTTGCAACGTACGCCAACGTAACGTATATACAAACACGTTTTAGATCGCGCTCTAACCTTAATTGACGGATTTTCCCGCGGAGTTAGCACATTGATCGTCTTTGTCCTTCTGAAATAACTTCAATCAGCGCTTGAAAAAGCTTGATATGACGTTTAAATATACAAACGTAAACGTGATATCGATAATACCGAAAAATATCGATATTCCGATATATTGAAAATTCCAATATCGAGTAATCGGTATTTTGATAAAAAAAGATAATTATCGGTATATCGATATACCGCAACAGCCTAAATTTGGAGGTCACCGATGTCTTTTACAAGTTAAATTACTGTAATTAAATTCAACCACCCACAAGTTCAGCGAATCTACCAGCATTTTTGCCAATGTGGTCATAGTTAATAGAGATGTGGCATATAGCTAAAAAGATTCGTGCAAAATTTTGGCAGTTCATGGTATAGTTCGGTTTTAAATTTTTTTGCGATTTACTGACGCACGACGCACGACCCACGACGCACGACGCACGACCCACCCACCCACGCCAAATAGACAGTCTCTTAAATATTAATAGATCTTTAGAGGCTTTAGTTCCATGGTTTAGGTTTCATTCTACTTATAGCAATAGACTCTTGATAAAGTATCAACGACCAGTGAGAGTCTATTATTTTAGTGTTAGTAAATATTAAATCTGTTTAGTGAACATTTAATTTTATTAACTTCGTCATTAGGTGTTAGTTCGAGTAGGTTTATTACAAAATTGAATTAATTACAGCTAATAATATGGTTATATATTTCAGAAGAGTCAAGAGAAGAACGTTCTTTAATACGGGTATATCATAGGCAGCCCAATGTTATGGTTGCCTGCCTGAGCGCGCGGGCGAGGCATTGTATAGTTGTATTATTTCCTAATTTTGATGAACGAGGCACGATGAATGAGGGCCCACAAAAATTGTAGCAATGATGAACTCCTTAATCTTGAAGTAAATAATATTGCCTCTTTCATGTCAAGGAATGGATTCCCCCGAAAACTTCCTAGAAAACTTTTAACATTGTTCAAACCCTGTTCTCCTAACCCATAACTCTAATAATGCTGTCATTGACCCCACTACAACCAAGATCTGGATTATTTACCTTTCCTCGGTAAATATGGAACTAAACTCACCAATAACTTCATTCGAAAAATAAATCCTCTACTGAATTCCCCTTGCAAATTTATCGTCAACTGGAAAACTACTGATACTAATTGCTTCATCTCACTTAAAGACCCAACACCAAAAACGTATCAAAGCTCCGTTGTGTTTGAATTCAAATGCCCAGGATGTAATGCTAACTATGTAGGAAAAACTAATCGCTGCCTATATACCCGTAAGAACATTCTTCTCTTCGGACTCTTCTGAAATATATATAACCATATTATTAGCTGTAATGAATTCAATTTTGTAATAAACCTACTCGAACTAACACCTAATGACGAAGTTAATAAAATAATAACATTAAATGTTCACTAACAGATTTAATATTTACTAACACTAAATTCAAACACTCATTAATAATTCATAAGCTTATTGGCAAATCATGTCAACCATAATATGTCACGTGCAGTGGCTTTAAACCTGATAAAACACTCCTAATTAGTATTCTTTATATAAAGAATACTAATAAGGCAGTATCTATTGACTATTGTAGTCGTGTCCTCATTAGTATATTATATCTATTGAATTTGTAGTCGTGTTTGAAGCCGTTTAATAAACTCGCAGGTCGTGTTTTATTAGGTCCTAAAGCCACTTGCGCTGCGCGCTCGTGTCTTTAAACCTAATAAAACACTCCTGCTCGTACGTTTATTAAACAGTACATAATAGATAAATCCAATCACTGGTCGTTGATACTTTATCAAGAGTCTATTGCTATGACTAGAATGAAACCGTCCCTAAACCATGAAACAAAACCTCTAAAGATCTATTAATATTTAACTAATCGTATCTTGTTAGTTCACTATAGCCTATATACTTGTACATATGCAATATCATCATCATTCATTTCCTGATGATGACTAATAATAGTTTAGTCGAAACGTCGAAAAAATGCTTTCAATTTTCGGAGTATCTATTGTTTAGTATTTTACCAAAATACTCAGTGGTTCCCGTAATATTATTAGTCTCCTAATTAGTTCCCTAATATTATTAGTCTCGTAATATTATAAGTCTCCTATCAGGGCAATGCAGCTTGACTCAGGAGTATTTGGTAGTGATGAATTCAGATGTTGTATCGCATCGGTGGAAGATTCGGGAAGACGGTAGAAGGTGTACAGAAGAACTGTTTTGTTTCATTGGCAAGTTCTATTACAACAAGTTCGATGTTTTCGTTTTCAAGGTCTCGTCGACGAGTAGCATGCAAATTGAGCTTTACCGCAACAAGCACACCCCACCGATCTTTCTTACTCTGTCGCGACGGAAGATGGAGTATCCAGGTAACAGTTCACTACTTCACTACTTCACTACTTCACTACTTAAAGCAGATTCATTCAGCCATGTCTCACAGATACAGATAATATCAAAAGTAACACTGTAAACTAAATGTTACAACAAAGTGATCTGATGTATTTTGGATGCAGAATCTTCAGTTTTATGGAACAAAGGCCTTTAAACTTCTCGCATTTAGGTACAGAGTATTCCATCCTTACTTTTACTGAAAACCTTTCTTACCGAACTTAGACGGGTTTCCCTGTTCGGGATTTGGTTCTGCGTTTCTCGTTGAAGGACGCAGTGGCTCTGGATTTGTCGCAATATCACCAGCAAGAAGAATAAGAAGAAAAACGCAAGCGGTTTTACGAGAAATCTGGAGATTTATTATTTCCATCAAATGCACCTGCTCTTCTCCGTTATTCACAACCCCCGCGCGTATATCGGATCCAACTTTACTTTACCTTTAATCCTGAATAGTTTTACTTCCAAATTCGCACAAGTAACGACAGATAATTTGCATTTAATACGGAGTCGATTAGCTTGCGCCCTTGCAAAACGGCGTTCACCTCACGATCTATTACTTTTTGATGCGAGTCACTAAAATATTCCCACATCTGGTCCTACCCACATCGGTTCTACCCACATCATTCTCCTGAAATCATCGGTGACGTTTCTGCATTCCTTCCTGAATGTTTCCCAACAGATCATTACGTCGTGGAAATTGATGTTCAACTAAAGTTTAAAAGAGCCAAGCCAGTTAAACGCCAAGTTTTTGACTACAGGAACGGTAAATTTGATGAGTTGCGCAATTTCCTCACGAGAAATCCCATTAATATTACTCCCACCGATGATATTGATAACTACTGGGAACAATGGAAGGAAACGTTCTTAACTGCCGTGAAAAAGTACATTCCAGTTAGAACGTATTGTTAAGGACACCAACTCTCCCCCTTGGATTGATAAAGAAGTCCGGATTCTTATCCGCAAGAAATACCGTGCATTAAAAAACTACCGAATGAATAGATCTGCAACTCGGAAGCGAAAGCTGCGATCCCTTACTCAACAAACTAAGCGTCTCATTAGACGGAAACACCAAGAATATCTGGCTAAAACTGAAAGTTCCTTCTCTGTCAATCCAAAGCTGTTCTGGAGCTACCATAAAGCTATCCTACGCCATCGAGCAAATTTGCATCACGAAATAACGTTTGACGGAGTTACTGCTAAATCTGCAAAAGATAAAGCTACACTTTTCAACGCGTACTTCTCTTTCGTATTTCGTTCACCCCTACCACAGGTTCAAAATCAGGTATCTGTGATCTGCTTCAACCATTAGAAATTGAGGAGCTTTCCAATATAACACTCAATGCGGAAGAAGTTGCGCGAAGTTTGTACAATCTTGACACATCCAAAGCGTGTGGTCCCGACGGCATTCCAACTCGTCTTCTGCAAGAATGCAGCATCCAAATTGCACCCAGCATTTGTGAACTATTCAATCATTCGCTGCACACCGGTAGAATCCCTTCTGAATGGAAATCTGCCAATGTTACGCCTATCCACAAGAAAGATCGTAAAGAAACAGCCGAAAATTATAGACCTATTTCTTTGCTTCCAATCCTTGAAAAAGTTCTGGAACGTGGCGTGTGTTTCAGACTTTACGATCATGTCAAACATCTCATCACCAAATTTCAACATGGTTTCCTCAGACAACGTTCATGTGTCACTCAGCTCCTATCTGTTCTTCATACTATCGGACAATCTCTCGACAAGAACACCCAAACAGACATCGTTTACCTAGATTTTGCAAAGGCATTTGACTCCGTTGACCACAATATTCTTCTCCACAAACTTAAACACTATGGCGTATCAGGACAGTTGTATGCATGGTTCGAAGACTATCTGAGCGGTCGTTGTCAACGAGTTGTGGTAGGTGGAGTTGCATATTCCTGGGCACCTGTAACATCTGGTGTGCCACAAGGAAGTATCCTAGGACCTGTTCTGTTTGCGACCTTTACAAACGATCTTCCATGTATGCAGATGACACCAAAGTGTACAAATCAATTAAATCGGAAGATGACTGTCAAATTCTGCAACACGCCTTGACCAGCCTTGAATGTTGGAGTCATGATAACAATCTAGATTTCAACCAGTCGAAATGTAAGCTGCTGACCATCACACGAAAAAAAAAGAATCCCCTCGTGTATGTCTACCACATGAATTCGAAGGAACTCTTGCGTGTGGATAAAGAGAAAGACCTTGGTGTTTGCGTCAGTGCCAACTTCAATTGGGATGTTCACATTCACGGGTAAGACTAACAAGATGCTCGGGCTGCTTAAACGAACTTGCCCTCTTTTGAGAGACAAAACAGTACGATGAACGCTGTATCTCTCGCTTGTTAGATCTCAGCTATGTTACGCTAGTGAAGTCTGGTCTCCACACACTGCCAAATTCAAGTCTAGAGTCGAAAGCGTCCAAAGAAGAGCCACCGCGTGGATACTACAATCCAAGCATGGCGAAATGACATATCAACAACGACTAATGAATCTCAACCTACTCCCCCTCTGCTATGAAAGAGAGATTTCTGATCTGGTATTCTTCTTCAAGGCTCTCTTTGGCAACACAGATTTGGACGTCAACACCTTTGTCTCCTTTTCCAACAACAATCGGACACGACTCTGTCAAAATCCCTCACCCTTAAAGTCCCCCTCTGTAAATCCAACACATTCAAAGCATCCTATTTCAACCGACTAGTTAAAATATGGAACTAGACCTGTAAAATTCTACCTCCTACCACCTTCGCCACCCTCTCCTCGTTTAAAAGAAACATTAGAAGCACATATAAACACTTGCTCGGAACAATGTTCGACATAGAAATGCCATGTACATGGTCATTAGTCGTGACTGTCCATGTCATAGAACTTAGTAAATAACTGTGTTTCATGTTTGTGCTGTTTTTGTATTGTATTTTGTTCTATTTTATTGTTTTGTATAGTTTTAGAATGGTAAGCACCTTGCATGGGACTTTATGTCTCGTTCGTGCTTGATATTGTCCATTTGGGTATTCTACTTATTTCTATATAGAACTGTTGTGTTTAAAACGTTGAAGAATTCTCAATAAAATTGTTAAATACTTTAAGAATGTTTTCGTTTGCTGATTTGAATGCATAACGTATAATTAGGAATTGATGCATGCGTAATTACGATGTGTTACGATGTTTTACAGAATGCAAGATCTAAACTAGACCAAACTTTATCTAAAACCAGCGAGTGAGTTGATCGTAACTACATGGAATTTAATGGGGAAAAACAAAGGAATTAAGGATTACATTTTCAGACCATAATTTTGATCTTGCATGGTAATCAGTTATTGATTAACAACGAGCCTGTAAAGCCCGCCGCACACGAGCGCACTTGTCGTGCGTACTTGTTATTCGTGACAAGTTGGATCGACAAAATTCCCTCGTGTGCGTGCAACATTTACGGCATTTACGGCCATACAACATGGCGGATCAAAATCATGAGCTCGTGTCTTGTTTTTAATTCGAATTCTGCAAGTTGCACGCATGTGCAAATTTTCCTATTCAGGCGCACTTGTCGTTTGCTCGCCGCACACGAGAATTGTTTTGTCACGAATGACGAAAAATATCAAACATGTTTGATATTTGGTTTACATGTCACGAATGACGAAAATGCCGTAAATGTTGCCCGCACACGAGGAAATTTTGTCGATCCAACTTGTCACGAATAACAAGTACGCGCGACAAGTGCACTCGTGTGCGGCGGACTAAGGCCACACTTTTGGGTATTACTTGTATTACCCTTTCAGACGATTTAAAATGGAATAATCATATTTAAGATATCTGTTCCAAAGCTAGTAAACGCTTATATTTTCTAAGAATCTTACGACGAGCGGCTTTTGATGTTGTGGACTTAGTAAAAGTTTATTGCTGTTACATTCGACCAGTCTTGGAATATGCTTGCCCTATTTGGCACTCTTGCATCCCTGAATAATTATGTGAACAGGTGGAATCAGTTCGAAAACGAGCTCTTCGCATCATATGCAAGAATAGTTTTGATATTCGGAGAACAATTAGGAGACTACTACGTTAATGTCACTTAAAGACCGAAGAGAAACTCTATGTCGTAAATATTTTAACCGTGTGAATAAGCCAAGTTAACCTTTTACCATTTAGTAGTGAACGTCAATATAACTTGCGTAATGATCGCCTTCCGACTATTAAGGTTAAAACTGAACGGTTTAGAAATAGTTTTATCCCATATGCAATTAGAACTTATTCGTAGTTTTAAATTAACTGTTTAATAATTTTATATTCTCCTATAGCTTATTTCGAATATGTATCTTAATTAACTTCATATAATGTAAAAACGTGTAATTCAATCCTTGATTGCAAAACGTTTTATATTAAAAATGAATCAATAAATCAATAAATCAATTTTGCATGCGTAATTACGATATTTGATGAAAACACTAGTGACTTTCATCAAATATCTTAATTACGTATGCAGCTAAACTCTTGTGGTGCTGTGTCTGACGGTGTTTGACCGCGGTATCCAGGGACGCCGGAACGATGTGAAGGCAAGGGGGGCAGATTTTCGTGAAAGGGCACTTTTGTATTGATATATACTAAGGGCCTGTTTACATGGAGGTAGGGTGACCCTATCAGGAGGGTTACCCTAGCAAGCGGGTCAGAAAATAGCGAGCGTTTACATGAGGTAGGGTGACCCTACTGCTAGGGCTATGTTGCCCGATAGGGTAACCCTACCTATGCGTGGTCGCTAAGCGGTCTGTATTAGATAAATGGCGTCGAAACGCAAACAGTTTTAGCGGCAAGTTGTGTAATGCTATTTATTGGGCCTTTGCTTGCTGCATTTCAATGTTGTGGTCTGTTATTTCCGAGGTTATTTCAATATCGTGGTCTGTTATTTCAATGTTGTGGTCTATTACTCGCATTGCGTAAATAAGCGTAATGTATTCCTTGATATAGTCCAACACAACAGTTTTTTTCGACATATTCGGCTGACCAAGAGCATTTATTTTGTTTTTTGGACGTCGATGAGGATGTGCCGGAATTTTGCTTCCTTTTCGGCTTTCGCCGTCTTTGACAATTTGTTATCGGAACTACATCATTCGCAGCGTTCTCGTCCAAAGTCAAAGCTTCGTTCTATGCCTCTGCTTCCTTATTTGTAAATTGCTTATCCTTTTTATTTTCTGGTGACGTTTAAAATACTCGCCAGGCTGATATGTTCATATGTATAATCTAGAGACGCTATCCTTGTTTGTCTGTCACAGTAGGACGTATAAAACATGACCCGCTTGCTAGGGTAACCCTACCTGACGCGTTTACATGGCTTATGTAAACAAAAAGATAGCCCTGCTGCTAGGGTCACCCTATCTGTTTGATAGGGTAACCCTACCCCTAGGGTAACCCTAGCGCGCATGTAAACGCTTCCTATAAAACATATTGAAGTAGGGTAACCCGCTTTCTAGGGTAACCCTTCTGCTAGGGTCACCCTACGTCCATGTAAACAGGCCCTAAGAGATGTTTGCAAAACATCGGGAGTTGAACTTCGCCTAATCATGTTTTCTATTTATTGGATGATAGGGGTGCGAGGGGGTTCTCCGCCAGGCGATTGTGCTATTCTTGAAGCTCGATACCTGCATTTCTTGCGTTTTCTGAAGCAAATTCGTAAAATAATTGCACTAACATTTCTGACAATTCGCTATTTCGTCAAGTCAATCCTTTAAATTGAAAGGGCACCTTTGCCCCCCTTGCCCCTCCTGGTAAAGGGCAAGAGGGGCGGCTGCCCCTCCTGCCCCCCCCAGTTCCGGCGTCCCTGGCGGTATCCAAACAGCATCTTGTGACGGAATGCTTACATGCTATTGGTTTAATTGCTCATTTAATAAGTGTTTTTGAAACTTTCATTTTTCGGCACCAATGCATTTCAAGCATGCTTAATTCATGCATTTACCTAATTTGCACATTGTTATTTTACTTTTTTTACAATTTACAAATTTTCTTGTTTGTTCTACATTATAAGTACCCGTATAATCTATATTTACCAAAAATTTCATGACATGAACGGATTTGTGAAATTGAGAACCGTTTTAAAATTGTCTACTTTTTTCTGATACACCCTGTATATAGAATGTATACTTCTATCTTTTCTCAGCAAAAATTTTGTCTCCACAAAATGGTGTATTTATAAGGGCATTTTGAATCGTCCCAATCTTCTGTGGCAAGAAATTTCGTACGGTTGCGAGGGCCATTGAGTGCGAACTGCAAAACTTTAAAGGTGTTTTTGGCCGGTAACTAACCTATTGGCTATTGAGACTGAAGAAAAACCAATAAAAAACATTACTCGTCAAATAAAAATTGCCGCTCGAAATCACATTCTTCCACCGTTGGTTGGGAATTGCATGGAAAACGAAACATAGGCAATTCCCAAGAGGGGACTAAAATTGAATGTTAAATTATCTAAAATGAGCTCAACCCGGTCGATCTTCGTCTTTGTAAGAAAATAACCAGGCTTTCTGGCATCCTTGTGTAGAAAAGTAGGACAAAAGTAGGACTAGAGTTTTAGGAAAAGTAGGAATAAAGTAGGAAAATGTGTAGAAAAGTAGGACAAAAGTAGGAGTTTTGGAGATGCAAATAACACAAAAATATACAAAATTGGCCCCTAGGATATATGTGGTAAGGGGTAGACCATTAGATATCTGATGGGGAAGTTGTGTGAATTTTTGGTGCTCAATATTTTTATGTACTCATTCATCTATGCAGGATTTTTTTCTCAAAACTTTTAAATTGCATCTGTATAAATTAAAAGCTAAGGCATCTGCTCATTCTGCTCTGCAGCAACACAATTCAAATGCATGTATTGGGCTACACAATGCACCAATCCACACTACGGCAGGGGCGTATATCAGGGCGGTAGGAAGCTCTTTTTGATTGGGGGTGGGGGGCTGAAAGCGAGGGCCGAAGGCCCGAGGAAATTTTTAAATTTAGAGTCTCTGAAATGCCATTTCCTGGACTTTGGGGAAGATTTGACAGAATTCTAACGGTCAGAAAACAGCGTTTTAGTATGTCGAAATTTACAATTTAGCAGTACTAAATGGGCGAAGGCGTATTTAATTAACTATATATTCGATAAGTTGCAGGAAAGTATGGGTAATATCTTCATTCTTTGCAGTTTGCATGTCATGGATTAAATGATAAAGGTCTGCATGATTTTGAAAAAAAATGATTATTAGCAAATTATTGGGGAGCTGCAGCCCCCCGGTTGCTACGGCCCTGTATATATGATGCTTGATTAACTGGGGGGGAGTTGAATATTTGGAATCTCTAGATCGTCGGAAATGGCACTTTCAGAGTCTTCATTAATTTATTGATTAATTATGATTCTAGAGATGCTATGAAATTTTATACTCGGAAAATGTACTTCTTCTCCTGAGATCTTATGATCTGGGACACAAATAGGAAATAAAAATTACGAGTCCTATAG